CGCTGGCAGCGCTTGGCCGGATCCCGGCAGCGACGCCAGCAGCCGCTGCTCCCACAACTCACCCTTTTTGATCTTTTTCTCCTGGATCTTCTCTGTGCACATCTTGTAGGCCTCTGACTGCTGGTATTCCCGCAGCTCCTTCATGTACTGCTGCTTCTCCCGCTCCGCTTCGTCCAGGTACCGCTACGGTCACAGAGGGTCCTCAGCCCGGCCCAGGGGGCTGCTGACCCCTCCCCACCACGCGGGACCCAGCTCCTGCCCACCAGCACTGGGACAAGCCCCCTCTGGGGCGCTGCAGTCAGGCAGTGAGTGAAGGGGTTTGGGGCGCAGGCTCCAGAGCGTGCCGCCCAGACCTGGGGGTCTCTCCCGGGGGCCGGTACCTGCTTCTCCGAAAGCTGCAGCTTGCTCCACTCAGCCCCCAGCATCTTGGTGATCTCCGGGAAGGGCAGGTCAGGATGTTGCGTGCGAATCTGCTCACGCCGCTCATTCAGAAAACGCACGTAGCCTGTCACGGGGGCTTTGGGGCCGTTGGGAAGGATCTTCTTCCTCTTCTTGCCCTTGGGCCAGCCCCTCTTCTTCACCGGCTGGCATGCAGCAAAGGGAAAGGGACAACCCAGAATGGATCAGAGCGCACGACGCTGTTGCACCAGCAGGACGCAGGAGCAGCCTGCAGACCCGCCTGGGCCTCCCGTCCCTCGAGGGAAGGTCTGGGCCTCTCCTCGGGCCAGGGCCGTGGCCGCAGGCTTGCCCAGCTGCGCCTGGGCTGCTGAAGGGCGTGTGGAGGGTCGGCCCCAGGCTGAGCAACACAGACCCCACGCCTGGGGACCACGCAGGGAGGGATGCAGGCACCAGAGCTCACCTCCTCCTCGCCGTGCGGCTTCTCACCGCTCGTCCGTGCCGACTCTCCCTTCTCCTGCTTGACGGCCACCAGGAAGTTTCCATGCTGGGCTTTGCCTGTAGCATGTCTGCAGCCAGAGAGCGTCTGTCAGATAAGGGCTGAAAGCCACCAGGACCGATGGTGACACATCCCCCAGCAGCACGGCCTCGCGCTCACCAGATCCCCCAGCTCTCACCCACCCAAAAAGCCCCCCAACCTGCTACCAGCCCAGGAGCCCCTGTTACCCCTTGAGGGGAGGCTGCGGTTGAGTAACGGGGCACAAGCAGGGCAGTGCCAGGCACGCAAAAGCTGCCCCGGGGTCCAGTGACGACCCTGGGACCTTTCAGTGACGTTTGGAAGGGGACCGGGAGTCGCTGGTGCTGCTCTTGGGGGTAGGTAACAGCGATGGCCACATCCCTACGTGCAACCTCATCGAGAAGTCCCAAGCGGCACAAAGAACCAGGGGAACCTCCTCTGAGAGGGAGGAGCCGCGGGGGTTTGGATCCTGGCTCCAGGGGCACCGCCTGGAAGCATCACCCACACCCTGGCCGGGCGCTGGCGGGGATAAGGAGAACCCTCAGGGCAGAGGAGCCGCTTCCCCCGCCCCCCCCCAGCCACAACCGCTCTGTCAGGTTCCTGACGCCTGCGCTGCCACCAAGACGCACGGAGCCGCCTCCGAGCCGCTCCAGCACGGGGCTGGCAGCCCCGGGTCCTGCTCCCCAACTTGCTGCCTCGTCTCTACAGGTCAGCATCTGCCTTCAGCGGCAGACAGGGGTCCAGCACCCGGCTTGGCAGAGCCTCCAGGCCCCAGCTGAGCACACACAGCCCTGCTGCACCACCCTGAGCCTCCTGGGCCTCTTCTCCAGGTGGCTCCATCCCACAGCGGAGCCCCTGTCCCGCTTGCAGCCTTTGGACCCCAACGCAGCTCCTGCTCCATCGGAGCGTGCCCGCTGGCACAGCACGGTCAGGCCCCCCACGGGGGGGGGAGCTACAAAGGCTGGAGTGCTGCGGCAAGCGGCGCTCGCTTGGGTTTCATCCAAGTCACAAGACACAGCAACGAGCCCAGGGCCAAGCACAAGCCCCAGCAAAAAGGAGAAAACGCCGCTGCGTGCTGGTAAGCGTGGAGGGGGATCCTTGGGGGGGGAGTGTCTCTTGCCCGTTTGTCACATCCCGTACCTGGTGTAAACCCAAATCCCCTCAGACACCCCCACCTACCACTACCAGGTTATCACCCGTACGAGCCACTCTTGCAATTAAGTCGACGGGGGCCCTTTCTGCGAGCCCCTGGCTGGGGACACCGCCTGTAACCGCGCTGACGAGCTCTCCCCATCGGGGCCTGAGCCCGACCAGCCGCCCTGCACCCCCGCGCCCATGCAAACGCCTGCGGGAAGGCGCGAGCCCATCTCTTCTTCTGTCTTCTGGGGGGAGAACCCCACCCCTGAGGCTCCGCACGAGCACGGCCAGCCTTAGGCTGGCTTTACCCGCTCTAAGAAATATTCCTGGTGGTGCCCATACGGTGTCATCGCTCTCAGCCACCACGGCCGGGAATGCGCTCGCACCCTCCACCACCAGACGTCGGATCTCTGCCTCCCCCCCTCTGCCATCCGGATTCCTCGCGTGCCTAAGGATGCTTTCAAAAGTAAAGTTATTTCAGGCAAGATTCCTCCTCTTATCTGAGCCTCCCTCGGCCGGTTCGCTCCGGCATCCGCCTCCCTCCACCTCGGAGGCGCTTCCCCAGCCGCCCGCCCGGCGGGGCGGC